TAATTTACTGCAATAAGTATATAGTATACTATATACTATAAAAAATTATCTTACGGCTTTTTGTTGCCCAGGCTAGAGTGAGTGCCGTGGCGTCAGCCTAGCTCACAGCAACCTCAAACTCCTGGGCTCGAGCGATCCTTCTGCCTCAGCCTCCCCGAGTAGCTGGGACTACAGGCATGGTGCACCCATGCCCGGCTAATTTTTTGTATATATATTTTTAGTTGGTCAATTAATTTCTTTCTAGTTTTTTTGGTAGAGACGGGTCTCGCTCAGGCTGGTTTTGAACTCCTGACTTGAACAATCCGCCCGCCTAGGCCTCCCAGAGTGCTAGGATTACAGGCGTGAGCCACCGCGCCTGGCAAACCTCACATATTCTTAAGCCTGATGGTGACACTGATGATGAATGATGATATTATATGGAGGGTTGTATTAACAATGGCTGGATACTTTCCAGACACACCTTGTATTTACCATGTGCCAGACACTGTTCTGACATACAGTGCTTCAGTCCTCATAGCAGTATTATCAGGTAGAAACTCTTATTATCTTTATTCAAAAAACGAGGAAGCTAAGGAATGGAAAGGTTAAGAATTTGCCAAAAGTTATGCAGCAAGGATATGGCAGAGCAGGAATTCAAACTTGAGTGGTTTTGCTCCAGCGTGTACACTATCCACTATATTACAGAGCCTCTTATATGTGAGCACTGTGTGTGTGTGTGTGTGTGTGTGTATGTTATGAGATTTTCCCCAGTAACAAATGTCATATGTGGTGCCTGACTTTTTTCTTTTTTTTTTGAGACAGAGTCTCACTTTGCTGCCCAGGCTAGAGTGAGTGCCGTGGCGTCAGCCTAGCTCACAGCAACCTCAAACTCCTGGGCTCAACCGATCCTTCTGCCTCAGCCTCCCCAGTAGCTGGGACTACAGGCATGCGCCACCATGCCTGGCTAATTTTTTCTATATATTTTTAGTTGGCCAATTAATTTCTTTCTATTTATAGTAGAGACGGGGTCTCATTCTTGCTCAGAGCTGGTTTCAAACTCCTGACCTTGAGCAATCTGCCCGCCTCGACCTCCCAGAGTGCTAGGATTACAGGCATGAGCCACCATGCCCGGCCTGACTTTTTTCTTAATCATAAAATATATGCTCTGGGTTGAGAGTTAGGAAACGAGCTGAATGCCCCCCAAAAAATAAATAAATAAATAAACTAAAGCTCTATTAATATTTTATTCCAGATTCTGATTACATAAACGCTTTATATTGTGTGTGTTTTGAGACAAATAAATAAATAAATAAACTAAAGCTCTATTAATATTTTATTCCAGATTCTGATTACATAAACGCTTTATATTGTGTGTGTTTTGAGACAAATAAATAAATAAATAAACTAAAGCTCTATTAATATTTTATTCCAGATTCTGATTACATAAACGCTTTATATTGTGTGTGTTTTGAGACTCTACAACTCTAGATTTTTGTTTAAAATTGCGCTAGTCTAAGTCTATCTTGAAATTCACTGCTGCATCAGAGCAAACACAACATGGAAACGTAGCACCTCAAAGAGCTCAGCTGGAAAATCCCACCTTGGTGCCGGCTTCCACACCTACCTGCTGCAGCATTTCTTCTGTGGCATTCAACTTCTCTCTGTGCTCTTCCAGACAAAACTCCAAATCTCTAATCTTCTCCCCCTGAGCCTCCACCTGGTCTGTTAACACACTTACCTGTATTTGGAGTAAAGTACAGCAATGAGTTAGAAAGAATGATGATCCTATTGCATACTTTATTTCCCTAAATGGAACAAACACTGCAATGATCCCACCACTCATACGGGTTGTAAAGAAAACTAATCTGAAAATTAACAAGGCAACAGTGGTCTTTCACATTCCTATTTATATGTTGCTTTTGATCTAAGGAGTCCTGCACAATTTTGGAGAAAGTTAGCGCTGATTAGGCACATACAATATTTTATAGGTTAAAACCATTTCAACCACTTATGAGTGACAGTGTGCACACAAATTATCTTTCTTGGGGATTGGGGGGAGTTTCCTCAGAGGAATGCTCAAAGAGGAAGTATTAGATGTTCAAACAGGAAATGAAGTTAATGTTTAAAACAGAAGTTATCAAGGACTATTCTAATTTGATACTTCAAGAGGAATAAGGAAAATAAACCAGGGAATTCGAATTCCATGTTATCTTTCAAGATGACTTTGATCACAACATATTCAAAGGCCTGTGAGGAGCTGGCTATTGGGTGACTCCTTCAACCTCAGTGTTTACTGTGAATCTCTGAGCTTTTTCCTTGAACAATCACTAGCCTAGTAAATATACTTCAATTCATTTAGCCCTAAATACAAAAGAACAATAACTATCAAACAATTTAAAACATGAAGAAGCAAACTCAAATTTAGCCCATAAGCAAGACTCCACTCACTGTTGTGTTTTGTCCGGCCTGTGGTATCGTATTAAAAAAACTGAAAAATCCAATGTATATATATCCAGATTCAGAAATATATACTTATGCATGAACATATTCAGATCTTATACTATAGATATATTAAAATATATTAAAAAATCAGAACAGATGACAGATGAGATCAGAAAGCCAGATCAGAAGACACGGGGACTCTCTCTGCAAACTGGCACCAAAGAGCTGAGCTCAGTAAGGGCGGCTCCCTCTCTAGATTGGGAGGGTGCACACACCCTCATTCTGCCCCAGGCCTCACCATTCCCTACTGCACTTACTGCCATTGGCAGTCTCGTTGCTGTATAAACATTTGAAGTTGCCATCCCAATTTAAAATAGTCTTTATGTCGTGAGGAAAGATCAACACTTAAAAATCACTTACCTGAAGAACAAGGGACTCTTTATCATTTTCTAAACGTGCCAGCCTTTCCTGGTACACATCTCCGTTCCCAGGAAGGTGTCCATTTGTCTGAAAAAGGAAATAACACAGGTGATGCTGACCCTCTTCTAAGGTCGATGTAGTGTGGGCAAATGAAAATCACATATGTTTTTAATCCAAGGAGCCTGAATTGAATTCAGGGCACAGCCATCACTGCCAAACAGAAAACAGGAGACTGCAATTTGGTTCATTTCCCTCAAAACAGGTATAAGACAGGTACATGAAGCATTTAGGCATGTTTGCACCAAACTACACAACAATTTCTGGTCAAGGAGAAAATAATGGCTCCAAAGGAACAATGGCTGGTAATAGTCTTCATTTGCAGGAGACACACACCCAGGAGTGGGCAAAGCTTTGGGAGTGTACAGTGGGACACCCAGAACCGTCGATGCCTTTCTCTCTGCCCCAGAAAGCCTAAACACTCAGTCCACAAATCACTTCCCTGGTAGCGCAGACTAGCCACGCTTATCAGCATTTTATCACTTTCTGTCTTAAACTCATTAACTTCTTGTGAGTTTGCATACTGTTATGTTCAGCTCCTAGGCAGAGCCTGTAAATCGTCTTGTGCCCTCCCTAGCATCTGGCTCATCTGCATATATTGATGCTCTTTCTTCCCCTTCCTCCTGTCCCTCCATTAAAATTAGATTTAGGTATATTTATGCATAGTATAAATGCTACAGGAAGTACAGATTTTTTTTTCCTCGGCTGTCATATGCAAGTCATGAAAGAAACATAAAAAAAGTCATTTTGCAACATAGTAGTATATGTGATGTTTAATAGCTTTTAAATAGTTCATAACCATAAAATAAGTAATCCCAATAGATTTCCTGATTCTTTATTTAAATACCATAGGGATAAAAGCCAGTTGGAATCCAAAATGATTAAATGGGGCCATCCACAGTTCAACTTAAAAAGCAACTAACACCTCCAGATTTAGAACCAGGAAAAAAACACAAATTATACATTCTTAGTGCCCAGGGGACATCTGATGTGACAGCTTTTATTTTTTTTCAGAATTAACTGATATTATTATTCTACCTCTCCAATTAATGCGTTTCCAGTATGAATTCTGGAAATAACAAAAGTCATGTGCTGGGAAGGAAAAAAACAAAAACAAAACAAAACAGGGCTTTAGTGAAAAAGAAAATTTCAGGATGTTTCTTCTAAAAACTTAGGCACAGTGGATACATTTCTCAAGAGGCCACAGAAGAACCAGAAGCTGATTGAGTAAATGAGCAATTCACATTTAGAGCAGATGAAACGTTTAACATCCACTGCTTGACCACATACCTGCACAATGACCACAGCATAATTAATTCTGTTTATATTGGTTTTTTTTTTTTTGAGACAGAGTCTCACTTTGTTGCCCAGGCTAGAGTGAGTGCCGTGGCGTCAGCCTAGCTCACAGCAACCTCAAACTCCTGGGCTCAAGCGATCCTCCTGCCTCAGCCTCCTGAATAGCTGGGACTACAGACATGCACCACCATGCCCGGCTCATTTTTTCTATATATATTAGTTGGCCAATTAATTTCTTTCTATTTTTAGTAGAGATGGGGTCTCGCTCTTGCTCAGGCTGGTTTTGAACTCCTGACCTCAAGCAATCCGCCCACCACAGCCTCCCAGAGTGCTAGGATTACAGGCGTGAGCCACCGCACCCGGCCTATATTGTTAACTGAAGTGCCTAGAATTAAATTACAGGTATCATGAAGAGTGTGGTGGAGTGTCTGGACCACTTCCACCCCTGGGTACCACCACAGAAATGAAATGTGTGTAACATCTTGAGGACAGTTTTCTGGAGAAGAGGCGGGATGCGAAATGCACGGCGTCACAATCTAAGAAAGTACCACGACAGGCCCTACACAGCCGTAAATTCCTCATTTCGATTATGAACATTAACAGGCATCTGTTTTTAAAACCCCACACGAGCCATGTTTTAGAAACAGATACATTTCATTAGGTAGAATAAAACACTTTCTGTTCAGCAAGGACAAGAAGTGAAACTTGTCTTTCTTCTGACTGGAGGAAATTACAGCAATATTAGCAGTGTTTCCCTCTCAAGCTACTGCATGTGATATGGAAATGAGATGTTCCAAAACCAGTGCTCCAAAATTATCCCCAAATAAAAACAGATACTGAAAGTGGAGTAAAATGAGCATCCTTAATGTTTTTCAACTAAACTGATATGTACAAGCACTTATAATGCTTAACGGTAGTTTAGGGTTTTTTGTTTTTTTTAAAAAAAACAGTTACTATAGGAACAATAAAGCAAAATGTTAAAGAGTCACTGATACTACATACTTGTGTTGACTTAAGTAGGTAAAGATTTTTTTCTATCCACATGTGTTTGTTTATATTTCTGCCAATTTGTTGCCTTTGTATTAAGAATGTTGGAGGTAAATCCATTAGGTAAATACCCGATTGCCTCTATTCTTTCTCCAACTCCCATGCTCTCCTTACCAAATCACTCAAAACCTCCCATATGTGGCATGCTCTCTCACACACTAGTATTATTCCTTCTGCATGGGCTGTCTTCCCCACCCTTTTCTCTTCTTTCCTCATTCCTTAAGGTCCACCTGCACTTGGTCTATGAAGTCTTCCTTGAATTAACTGTTTACACGTATGGCAGTTGTAGCAGGAAGAACCTTCATTATAGCAGCATCACACTGAATGGACTTAGGTTAGACTTGGCTACACACACGTTTCTAATATTCTGCATTCTTTGTGAGAAGATTTGTCTTTGCATCTGACATACAGTGGGTGTTAACTAAATGCCTGCTGAATGAAGGAACAATGATAAGTGTTCAATAAACACAGGTTGAATAAAAAAATAAATGCATGTTTGGTTTTAACCTGGCCTTCTTGCTTCTCCAGATCATAGAGGAACTGGGAATCCAAGGCCGACCTCTAGACTAGCTCCTTTCTCCTCCAGCTCTCTCCCCACCACATTTAGGAGGTGATCTCAGAGCCTTTTTAACAGACAATAGTTGAGATCATTTCACAGAAACTCTCTCACACACTTGCTTCTTCAATGCACAATATTATGCATTGCCTCCTGCATCTTTCCTTCCATGCTTTCTTACTGCCAGTCTTGAGGGGAATGAGTCTTAACTCCTTCCTAAAACCTCATTCCACCTCCACTTTGGACCCTTGATTTCCTATTCCAGGAAAAATAGGTCCCTGAGACCTATAATTGTTGCCTCTACTTATCATTCTGTTTCTTCCTCTTAATGAGCTTTCTTACATGCTCCTTTCCAACACCTACCCCAAGGTTTTGTGCCAACCATTCTACTCCCCTCTGCTTCTATAAATCCATCTTTCATAAACGGCTCCCACCGCCTCCTCCTTATAGTGTGCCATTCTCTTCTCCCCCTCTACTGGCTTCCCTTCTGTATCTTGTCTCAAACCTCACAGTTTAGGATTTCATCCTATTCTGCCATGTATAGTTGACTAGTAATTTTATGTGAGCTGGTCACTTATTCTTCCTAATAGTTTCTCAGTGCAAAACTGTCTTATATTTCTTTTGATTATTCCATGATGCTTATAAAGTCCTGAGCATGTAATTTAAAATGTATTAAGTATAAACTCTTGAGTCAATTTGGCTTCCAAAGCATTGAAGACCAGCTTAAATTACTTCATGCAAAATGCCAGAGATGGCTTCAAAATAACCCTTTCTACCTTAGCTCATGGTATAACCCCTTATTCAACCCGGCTAAAAGTTCAAGTCAAAACTGGAATCAAATTGGGGATCTCAACAGTACAGTGTCCAACTAACAGTGTGTGTGGAGGGTCAGGGTGGGAGATGCAGCTTGACTGTAACATTGATACTTTGATTAAAGAACTTATGCTGTTCACCAGGTTTTCCTGGCATGATGGAGAGAAAAGTGTCTAAAAAGCTTTATTCCTCATATAATTATAGAATGCTACAGCTAGCCAGGAACCTCACCTGGGAATATGAATTGCCTGAAGTCACATACCAGGTGCTACATATAACATTAGAACATTACTTACCTTCCCACTACCAAAGTGAAAGCTATTCATCAATTTCCGTATAATTATCAAGTACTATAAACACACAATTAAGTATAAAGACATAATAAATGTTAACATCTTGCCTTTGTGCCTGTTTATTACAGAAAATTTCAAATATGTGTAAAATGAGAGAAACTAGCATGATAAAACCCCACCCAATTTCCATAGTTATTATACTAAGTTATTAATTCATGGTAGATAGAAGTCTTTTGACCATTATTTTTACTTAAAGCATTATGTCACATTTTCCTTTGATTTTCTGGGTTCTATAGGTCTGCATTAGTCCACAGTTATCTTCCCTATTCCCCACACCTTCATTTTGCTTTGTTCTTTTTCCCTGAGCTCTGTTGTTCTATCTAAATCCAAAATCAACACCTAAGCAGAAATTTGCCACAATTACACTTATTTATAACACAGAAGCTTCTTTTGAATGAAACATTCCTAAATCAGAATGGTAGCAAGTACCTAAATTAAAATTGGGGAAAAAAAAAATCAGTCCATTTTATAAGGACAACAAATATGAAGAAATAGTTGGGTTAGTATGATTGCATATACACAAATACACACATGGACAAATCCTACCCAGTCAATATATTTATTCTTAAAACTAATTTTAAGAACTGTCACACCATCTTGATTTCAGAATTGTATTTTTAAAAATTCAGTGTCAAGAAAAGAAAAGGCTCAGTCCAAGAAATCTCCTTTAATTAAATGTTATCTCGAGCTACCAAAAGCAATATTTACTGTAAGGGTGTTTCATGTCCTAATCAGTGTCACATCTCTACCACTGCATGCAAACACTTACTGCATGCCTGCTCTCCACTAGACACGCGCTAGGAGGAGAGATCAGAACTTGATTGCTTCAGCCGTGAATAGCACAGCCATAAATGCACTTGGGTCCAACACTACATTAAGGCATCTCACATTGCTACTGCACAAAGAATCAAAGAACTTAATACCAACAATGTTGCAAATCAAGCCACCCAGGCAGAGGCAGTACTGTGCTCCCTGTCCTCACACTGGACGTGCTGGAATGAGGGCACAGGCTTCTGCAGTGGGTGGAGGGGGACATGTTTAGAATACATCATCAACCTGGTCACAAGTATACTCCAAAGTCCTCTGAGTTATAGCAGGACAGAGAAAAGAGGTCTCAGTGTCCCCAGAAGCTAAGTGCCAGCTCCTATCCTAGCACAGTAGCATATTCATTCATTCATTCATTCACCCATCATTCGTTCATTTATTCAACAGTGACTACATGTTGAAAGCCAGCTATGTGTGACAGGATACAGAGATCCAGCAAAAGAATCTCTCTTCTACTCTGGGAAGGATTAACATGAGATCAAGAAACAATGCTGTCCCTATTGTTCTTGTCTCTTACTCTTTCTTAACTCACTTTCCTGAAGGAACAAGTCTCTTTCCAAATAATCCTAACAAATGCCAGGAGCCCGGGATTACATTAAAAGAACGTCTTTTCACCTCTCTGGACTGAGCATTCTACCAACTTGGTCAATTTATTTTCCTGTGTCAGTGGAGACTTTTCAAGGGAAGCCTAAGGGGGAAACTGCCTTAATTTTTAGCCAAGATGTCTCAGTGAGACCACCTGTTTGCCAAGGCCTGAGAAAACATTCCCTGGAGGCGCACATGAAAAGCGAAGCCGGTCAGAGAACAGCAGGGATGGGAGGGTGCTGGGACTGCCCTGGCCAGTGTGGCTGGGGTCAGGGACTCGCAGAGGACAGCCAGCAGCAGCCCTGCAGAGAGCATGTCCCATGGCTGAACTCTTGAAAGGATGAGCATTTTTAATTCTACAGCAACTTTTAAAAATACACATTTGCAATTACCTAATTTGTTAAAGGTAGAACTAAGATACAAATCTTTTCTGATGCTTTAACAGAAGTCAGCCAAGAATGCCTCCCTTCCCTCACTTACGATCCACTTATCTCATGAGTTATGATGCCTGGTTTGCAGTTATTACCGTTAGTATTTTCACTCACTTCATGGAAAATTGTATTTTCATAATCTCTGCTGACTTTGAGACGGCCTCATAATTAAAACTGCCAAATAATCAGACACTCCGGGGATCTCACTAACAGATCCCCTGCTGATGTCCACCAAGGTCATGATCCTCAGTTTTGTCTGTTGAAGAAAGCATTAAGAGAACGTTCGAGGGCAACTCATCGAGTTATGCCTAAAGTAAACAAAAACCACTCACTTGGCCCAAACAATCTTCTTTTTATCCTTTTAAATCTGGAGCTTGATAAAGCATGTAATTCTCCATTATTAATATTTGTGTTAACATACGACAACATTTCACAATCAAAACAGAATTCTGCCTCAGTAATTGAACAAATATGTCCTATTTTACAGTTTTGTTTTTTTTTTAACCACAGGAAACAAACTTCTGAGTCTTAAATTTGTTCATTGCTAGGAGATACAGCTATAGGTAGAGTATTAAAACATTCATTCTTATAGTATCTTCAGTATCTCTTCACTGTAACAGGCTACTAGTGCTACTACCCCCTTTTCTCTCCTCCAGCTCTATGAAACAATTAAATTGGCGGCAGCAATTAAATAACAGCAGCAGAGATTAAATAACTAGCACCCTACAGGAAACCAGGGGATTGCCCTGGCCTGGGCAAAATAATTATTAAACTACAAACGCTCAATTGCACTAATGAAAAGATTAGCACCATTTGTAAAGTCCATGGACTCTCAAGCTGGCCATCATTAAACACTATGAATGAAACCTTCATGACGTAACTCGTGTCATTGACAAGTTTTTCTAAATCATCACAGAAGCATCTCTGCAGTCTGAGAAATGCCTGTCACAGGAACTGAACTATGTATGAGTGATTTGTAACCTAACCCCCCTTATAACTGGACCCTCCTCTCTCTCCCTATTGCAAAGGGATCCTGTTAAACATTTTCCCTTGACTCTCCATGATCTACTCTTCGGTATTACTTTTCTGACTAGCCCTCTGCCACGTGTGTTGATAAGCACTCAGCATAGATTGGTTCATGGGATCCTCAAACCCTGAGTGGCAGGAACCACCACGCCCATTTTATAGGTGGGGAAACTGAGACACAGAGCTTAAGAAATTGTCCCAAGGTCCTACAAGCTTCTAAGAGGGAGAGCCAACGTTAACATTCAGGTCTCTCCACAGCCTGCGCTTGTCACTGTCTAGATACAATTCTGCCTTCTTTATCATTCACTGCTTTCTTACACCAGAACCTTTCAGGCCAGAGAGACTCACAGACCTCCAGCCCTCATCTCGTCCCAGCCCCCATCCAAGGCTTCCCTGTTCCTGTTGTGCTTGTCCTCAAGTCCCTTCTAATTAAACTGAAGTTAATTATAACAGGCATTCACATTTCATGTTCCTATTCACACTCATTCTTTATTCACTCTTAAGAGACTGTATACCTACACCATCTTTCTGATTTTCCAGAATATAAGAAAAACATGCCAAGCCACCTCCTAACTCTATTTTCTCCTACTGGATTAGTCTGGGAGCTGGATGCCAATTTGTCTGTCTCTGAAGACCCTTGGGGTCCTGCTCAGAGACTTGACCTTGAGCATTCCAACTGGGATTGACGATGCTTGCATTCCAGTTGGAAAGACAGAAAATAAATGATATAAATGTGGCAAACACACAGGACAAAAGAAAGTGTTGAATGCTAAGAACAAAATGAAGCAGGGGGATGTAACACAAAGAATGCATGTAATTTGAGATACGGTGGTGTGGGAAAGCCTCACTGAGAGCACAGCTTTTGTGTAAATGCTAGAACGAGAGGGAGCTAGCCACACAGATATGTGGGGAAGGAAAGAGCTTTCCAGGCAGAGTGGACAGCCAGTGCAAAGGCCCTGAGGTCAGCTTACCTGGCACGTTTGAGAATCGGTGAAGCAGTCAATGTGCCCGGAGTGGAAGCATCGTAATGAGAGGAGGATCAGAGAGTCATGGGCATCCAACCCTATATGGCCTTGCAGCAGCCCACAGTAAGCATTTTGGATTTTACTCTGAGTGAGATGTGACGCCATTGGCAATTTTGAAAAAGGAGTGAGTGGCATGATTTAACTTATATTTCAGGTATCATCATCACCCCTTTTTATCATTTCCAGAAATAGTTTGACAGAACAGATTAAGCACGCGTTAACGGAAATGTTTTGGACACATGTCAAAAATTCAACCACAGGTACTCTCTTAAGCTATGACTGCCACTGGTGGCCTCTGGATGTGGGCTAGGGGAATAGGTTCTCCTAACAATAGTAAATTCCTTTCTTACCACATGCTAAAATAATCAGAAAAACGTGCAGTAAAGAAGGGTGAGATAGGGCGTAAAATAGGCTAAGGAATATTCTAGAAAACACCTAATTTCAGAGAAGAAGGCAATCCCCAAGAAATGAGCAAACCTGCACTCTTAAATCTCTGGAGGAGATACTGGCAGAGAAAATATAAAGTATGATAGTAAGGCCTCGTGTATTTTAAAAAGTAAAATATCTTCAGTTGTCAAGGTGGTGTAGCTGGACCGCTGTGAAAGGCTAGATCATACTACTTGCACTCAGAAGTGCAGAGGTAAATTGGGTGGGGACATGGGAAGATTTAGCACAGGCTGGCAGCACGAATTGTGTCACATCACACGACAATATGATGTACCATCAAGATTCCCAAAGCAAGCAGCTTTCTATCACAGATCCTAAAGCAGAATCAATACTCTCATACAATTTTCATTAGTTTCTATATAAACACAATTAACTCACAAGGATATTAGTGCATCTTATCGAAAATTGAGTATCCTCTAAATGCTTACGAGATAGTACCTTTCCTATCTTCTCCTTTGAACCTAGGTATGTTTGTGACATTCTATGTGGTCATCACATATTCAAACCATGGTACTTGCCACTGTGCCCAGAGAAAGGGCAGCTCTGCCATGTCATCAATTTTAGGGGAAGGATGCCTCCAAAGTTAGGCCTTGTTGTTCAGTGAATAACGCCCAAGTTGATTTAACTTGAGAACTAGAATTGAAATGATTGCCACAAACCACTAGATGGCACTTCGTATCAAACGCTGCTACAAACCTCTTGCCTTTTGAAGTGTCTATTCATTACACTTTCCATTTAGAACTGCCACTAGGTCCTTTATAGTGACCTTCCTAACAACACTAAGAAAACATATATTATGTGCAAGGTTCTTTCTCTTATAGGATTATTTGTGGTAAGCCACGGTAGGTCATTCAGGCACAATCTAAAAGCCATTTTTATGAGCAGAATCAGGCGACCTGTTGGCACTCATAAAATATACACTAACAGCACTTTTTAAAAAAGTTATCCTTAGAGTCAAAATGGAATTGGAATCTCTTAAGGATAAAATCAGAGTAAACCTGTTGCCCTATGATTTTTTTTTTCCCTTGTTGTAATCAGCTACGCCATGTTCTTAATTTTGGAACAAGCACAACAGATTCATGACACAGAATTTGTAACATGTAGACATCTACCATTTGACTCTGAAGCCACTCAATGAGCGTTTCTGCTGTGGAGTCTGGGATCTGGCATCTCAGGCCTTCCTTCTCATCCGTTTCCATCATCTCCAACAGTCCACGCAGGTCCTCCACAAGGTGAAGGGCTCGCAAGCCCCCCATGAAAGGAGAAGTGGGAGACTGGCAATCAAAAATCCCATTGGAATATTCCAGGGCCTTAGAACCTAGGTTAAAAAAAAAATCAGAGAGAGGCAATGGGATTTATAGATCGAATATTAATAACAAAGCTGAAGATGATAAACCAGTCTAGCCACGTTGAGGAATAATCAAAACAAGGCACGGGAAAAAGATAGTCAATCATTTTAATCTTTTAAAAAGATAGTACGATAGCTATTTGGTACAAAAATTGGTGGTAAATATCAATGGTCCAATACCCAACAAGGAGGCCAATTGTGTGGTACAGAAAGAGAGAGAGCCCGGTGGGCTTTGGTGTGAGGTGTGCTGGCCTCACGGAAACCACAGACAACGTGGCAGATGGTTAGGTGGAGCCAGGCATTGCGGAAAATACAAATTTTACAGACCAATAAAGTCTTCAGAAATCCCCGAAAAGGATTTATACTGAGGTGGAAACTGCACAGCACAATTTCAAAGGTTTTCAGAAAGCCAGCTTCCAGCTAACTTACCAGAATTTAATCTCTGGAGTTCACGGAATTAAGTGTGTGCATCTGTATATGCATGAAGCATGTGTGTCTGAACATTTTCCCCATGATTTTGTTTGCAGCCTAGCACCAAATACTCTTGTTAATATCAGCTTTAAAACATGGTTTTACAGGCTGGGTGCAGTGGCTCATGGCTGTGAACCTAGCACTTTGGGAGGCCGAGGTGGGAAGATCACTTGAGCCTAGGATTTTGAGACCAGCCTGTGCAACAGAGCAAGACCCCATATCTCTACAAAATATAGAAAAATTGGCCAGGCATGGTGGCTCACACCTGTAGTCCCAGTTACTTGGGAGGCTGAGGCAAAAGGATGGCACGAGTCTAGGAGTTTGAGATCATAGTGAACTATGATGACACCACTGCACTCTAGCTTGGGCAATACAGGGAGACCCTGTCTCCAAAAAATAAAAAAAGTTTACAGCCACTTTTGTTTTCTATTACTTATAAAACGTTTTACTACTTTTGAATTCACACGACTAACCCACAGCCCATTCTGAAAGCAATCATATATACCTCTTCATCTCTTTGATTTTTATTTTTTTTATTTTTTTTTTTTTGAGACAGAGTCTCACTTTCTTGCCTAGGTTAGAGTGAGCGCCGTGGCGTCAGCCTAGCTCACAGCAACCTCAAACTCCTGGGCTTAAGCAATCCTACTGTCTCAGCCTCCCGAGTTGCTGAGACTACAGGCACAAGCCACCATGCCCGGCTAATGATTTTTATTTTCTGATATGTCAAATGTACATACTACTTTTATACTTATATATCAGACCTCACATGTTTGAAGGCCCTGCAGTTGGATGCAGTTGGATGCAAACCAATGTGTGCGATCTCTCCCCAGGCAGCCATCAGGCTTGATCAGTTCCAACAATGGAAACAGAAATTCTCTTTCAGCTAGTCCATCCCACTGCCCTTCCTAACAGGGGACCAAAGGATTTAGACCAATATCTGCCAAACTCTAATCATGGTCAGTGTTAAAACACTGGGCGCAGTGCTAACTGCATCACACAAGCCTCTGAAATCAATCCCCTTAGGAGCCCCGAAGGCTGAGATGAGAACCCAGAAAAATATAAACTGAAAAGAGTATGTCAGGGGGAGGGAGGAACAGAAGAGCATTAAAACCCAGTAACGGTGTGGTGCTCTATTCCAGCAGTTTTGAGCATTAGGATCACGCGATATTATTAAAAAAAAATACATGTGTCCATGACAGCCCCCTTTTGTGAAATCCCCTTCACAAAACAAGGTGGGCGTAGGGAAAAGACATATATTTAGAAAAAAGTTCTCAAACATTTATAGTCATTTCTCCTCTTCTCCCTTAGACCTCAGCTGGAGAATTACTGATGTTAATTTGAAAACATATAAACCCAGGTCCTACCTACCACAAAGCTTCTCACTGATTTAGTTTGAGGTGGGACTCTTTGTTTTTCTTAATAACTGTAACATTTTTCTGCAGCCCTTCTGGGCCCTTCTGGGGGCCAAGAAACAAATACACTAATGTAGTAGAATATATAAAATGTAAAACCTCCAAATATTATTCCAGAAATATCATTTCTCTCAACTAGAGTTTTTCTAAGAGTGTGAAGTTATAGCCTCTGGCAAGAGCCTAGATGGGTTCTAGTAATATTTTCTGAAATTGTGACTGAGTAAGTCCATATCTTCTCTACATAGTAGTCCTTCAACTAGTATTTTAAAACATGTTTCATGCCCTGAGCAAGAAAATACTTTGCTAGGTTAAACTTAACCAGTTCCTTACCAGATTTGGTTGTTAGGCTCTTTGTCTTCGTGTTCACCTTCCCCTAGACAAGTTTTAGCTTGCCAAGAACCCTTTGAAAATGACATTACAAGAACTGAATGCAGTATACTAATCTACAAAGGAGGTCAAATTGAAGTTGGGTCTCCAGGACACAGAAATATAATAAACTACGGCATGTCACTTCACTTAGTTAAAAAAAAAAAAAAAAAAAAAAAGAACCTTCTGAACAAGACTTAGAACCACCAAAACACAGATATATGACCAGAAAAAATAAGCAGGTAGGGCCAGGACAACTAGAATCCAGGCGGGATAGAGCTCAACTGCACCCTGACCTTGACCATCACAGGATGATGGCCTCACCTAATGGTCCCTACTCAACCCTCTCCTCATTATAATGGTCCCTAAATATATTAAAGTACCTCTCTTCAGACAAACACTATAATATGACACAAGACCTCAGGGAGCCACCATTCTTGGAGACCTCAAAGGTTCAGGTGCTAGTCAGTCCCCTCTGCCGCGGTGCAAGACAAAGCCGTGCTGGTTTACTGCTTTTGCTCTGCTTTCACCATAGACACCTGCAGAAGATCCTTGACAAGGGAGTCACGTGATGAGATCTGTGTTTTTTGTTTTTTTTGAGACAGAGTCTCACTCTGTTGCCTGGGCTAGAGTGCCGTGGTGTCAGCCTAGCTCACAGCGACCTCAAACTCCTGGGCTCAAGCAATCCTCCTGCCTCAGCCTCCCGAGTAGCTGGGACTACAGGCATGTGCCACCACGCCCGGCTAATATACATATATATATATATATACACACACACACATATACATACATATTTTTTAGTTTGCCAATTAATTTCTTTCTTTTTTTTTTTTTTTTTAGTAGAGATGGGGTCTCGCTCTTACTGGAACTCCTGACCTTGAACAATCCTACCGCCTTGGCTTCCCAGAGTGCTGGGATTACAGGTGTGAGCCACCATGCCCGGCCAAGATCTGTGTTTTAGAAACGAGATTCTGGTGGTGTCAAGAAGGATGGACTAGAGCAGGAAAGCAAGAGTCTCAAGGGCATCACGTGGGAAGGTTATTTCCCTACAGCAAGATAATGGTAGCACAGACAGGGCAGATTTTACAAAGGATAAAAAGAAAAGGCAGAATCTGGGAGGAGGCAGAATTAATGGAACCTGATTAACTAAATGGAGAACATGAGAGAAAAAAGTATCTAAAATGACTTAAATTTCTGGCTTAGGAAACTGTAGATGGAGGGTTATGAAATGAACCAAGGTAAAGACTGTTAGAGAAACTTCCAAGGAAACATAATAAATGAACTCGATGCTTTAAATGATGACAATGATGTGCTACAGGATATTTCAGGGAAGGTATCTATCTGGTTGGCAGTAAGAAATAGGGATTGGAAGCTTGGCAGAAAATTGGGAAAGTAAACAGATGTAAATTGAACAAGCCAGGCTCAGTGGCACATACCCATAGTCCCCACTACTCAGGAGACAGAGGCATGAGGATCACTTGAGCCCAGGAGTTGAAGGCTGCAATGAGCTATGATCACACCTGTGGGCAACCATTGCACTCCAGCTTGGGCAACACAGCAAGACTCTGTCTCTAAAAAAAATCCAGAGTCACTGGTGTAAAGTGACCACTGAATTCAAGGGAAGAGACCAGAACATTCATGGACATTGGGTAGAGCAGTGTCCCTCACAGTATGGCCTACAGACCATCTACACCAGAATCCCATGAGATGCAGATTTTTTTATCCTTGATCAGAGACTTAGGAAGAAAATGGATTTTTTGATACTTTAAAGTTTGAGAATAATTCTGGCAGAAAACAGAGAAGAGAAACAAAGATGAAACCATAGAAAACAGAAAGGCATCGTAGGGAGCCAAGAAATGAAAGAAAGTGAAAAGGTAATAAAAGAGCTGTAATTGAAAAAGCCAAGTGAAGACAGTAAATGTCATGATTCCATCTTCCAGAGGATTCAGATTACCTGCTATGATACCATCCATCTGCTCCAACGCCGCAGCCAACATGTCACTTGCGTCACTCATCATTTTCTTATTTGTCAAGGGCGAAGTCCAACCTAGAGCTGAAAAAAATAATGATGTTGTCATTACAACCTTTGCATAAGACAGGCTTGCAAATGGGTTTGATAATTCAGCTTCCAGTTAGAACTGCACTTAGCAATCAAATATGGAGAGAGACCTTCAGAAGTGGTGGGGCTGAATCAACCTAACCATCTAGTGGGCTGTGGCCGATCATCTGTAGCCACATGCCACACCTGTATCAGGTACTAAAGAAGATTCAGTTCTTGCCCTCGAGGTCTTTAAAGTCCAGTACAATGGTTATACTTCCTTGTTATACTCCAGAGCTCTAGGACTCTGTGAAGGGAACCAGGGAGGGCCGTGGAAGCTTGCTGGGGGCATGAGAGGTGCTGGCAAGACAAGACTCCTTCCTTCCTGTACCAGCCCCACCAATCTCTGCTCTCTTAGTGTTGTTTTCCTTTCTGCATAAGGGTTTAATTTAAGATTTGTCTAAGAAGGCTGGGCGTGGTGGCTTACGCCTGTAATCCTAGCACTCTGGAAAGCCGAGGCAGGAGGATTTTGCTTGAGGTCAGGAGTTTGAGACCAGCCTGAGTGAGAATGAGACCTCATCTCTACTTAAAAAAAAAAAAGGAAACATTAGCTGGGCATGGTGGCGCATGCCTGTAGTCCCAGCTACTTGGGAGGCTGAGGCAGGAGGATCACTTGAGCCCAGGAGTCTGAGGTTACTATGAGCTGTGATGACATCACTGCACTCTAGTTAGGGCGACAGATTCTAGCTCTGTCTCAAAAAAAAAAGAAAGAAAGAAAGAAAAAAGAAAAGGGAACCATAATGGATAAGATTCACATTTATACAGCTTTCACATGTGGGCACTCCAATCCATGTGATGCAGAGTGGCTAGGACTCCTGATGAAAACTCCAATCTTACTGGCTCAAAGGTCAGAAAGGGGTAAAATTCTTATATTATACACAAAGATATTTAATACTAATTTATGGCGGACTGTGATAAGTTAAGAAAATATAATGTAATCCATTAAAACCATAAAATAAAAAGATATAAGTAAAAAGCCAATTGAGTTGATGAAACTGAATATTAATAAAATCTCAATTTCATTAAATCCAAAAGATGGCAGTAATGGAGGAACAACGGATGGATGGGAGAAAGAAAAACCAAAAGCCAAGATGCTAGACTTAAACTAAACCATATAAATAATTATATTAAATATAAATGGAATAAATAAAAATGAGCCAGAATCGTCAGACTAGTTTTTAAAAAACCAAAAGAACTATATGCTGTTTATAGAGGTGTACTTGAAATATAAAGAAATATAAAAGTAAAAGGATGAAAAACAAGATATACCATGCACATAGTTAGCATAAGAAAGCAGGAGTAAGGGTTTGTTTTTTTTTTAGGAATAAGTATTTTAATATAAGGGGAAAACTACTAATCAATAAGTACTACTAGAAAGAAAGAGATATTTTATAATGATAAGAATTCATTAATAAGTCATAATAAGCACAAATGTTTTTGCAACTACTAACAGAGCTTCAAAATACATGAAGCAAATACAAACAAAATTAAGGGAGAATTAAATTTAATCCACTTATATTTAACATAATTGTTGATATGGCTGGATTTAAGTCTACTGTCCTGACATTTTTTACTATTTATCCCATCTATTATTAGTTCCTCCTTTTCAACCTTCTTTTAGATTAGTAGATGAGGTAGGAAAAAAACAAAAAACCAGTAATAGGCCAGGCGTGGTAGCACACACACTCTAGTCCCAACCACTTAGGAGGCTGAGGCAGAAGGATTGCGTGAGCCCAGAAGTTGGAAGTAGCAGGATGACAGCACTGCTCCCTAAAAAACAAACAACCCCCCCAAAAAAAACCAGTAATACAGAAGATTTGAACAACATTATCAACCATCTTGACCTAATTCAATTTGTAGAACAAAACATCCAAATGCAGAAAATACATTCTTTTCAAGTCCACTTGTTATGTTATCTTCACCAGGATATGGCATGTATATGAGGGCACAAGGTAAGTTTCAATTAATTTCAAATGAGTTTTAATGAACTACACAGAAGAGCCACAACCTGAAGTGTTAAAGTACTAATACTAAGAATAGACCGTCCATATTTACTAAAATTCTGCCTTGCCCATGGCTTGAGCTATTTTAGAGGCAGCCTAATTTAGCAGGCATCTGTGTTGATAAAGCTATGTTAATTTTCATGGCTGGGTCAAAGTATTTTTAAAAATGAAAAGGCTATATAAAAAGCTTTCAGCTGCAGTAAGCTATGATAATGTCACTGCACTCCAGCCTGGATGACAGAGCAAGACCCTGTCTTAAAAAATAAAAATAAAATAAAAAGGCTTCAGAAAACCCCACACTCTCTATGAAGAGTTTCCTATATCCTCAAAAACATTTCTGAGAGGAAGTTCCCTGGGCTTCCTCATGTAATTAATATAATGAAATATTATAATATGATGGAATAATACTCCACAGTAAAAAAGATTAAATAATACATGCAATATTATGTTGAGCAAAAGAAGCCACACACAAAAGACTATGTACCATATGATTCCTTTTATAAGAAATTCATGAACAGGCAACCTATGATGGAAAGTAGAACAATAATTACTTGCAGGAAAGGGTGAATGAATGAAGGAGACACTGTGGAAACTTCTGTTCAACATCTTGATTGGGGTATTGTTTACACAAATCTATACATTTGTACGAACTCATCAAACTAAGCAATGGTCTTTAAAACTTGTCAGGCATTAAGAATCCCAATGTCAATCCCATCTAAATTCTTTAACTAGGAAAGAACCACGAGTTGCTGGCTAAATGTTGAAAGCGTAAAATTCATTCAAAGTCTGTTTAATCAGGAATTCCCTTAAAACATACGTATTATTAGTAATGTTCAGTTTCTGGGGCAGATGCTATTGGTGCCCCATGCATATTTTCAGGCATGCCAGCCTAACTTTTAACTGTCCAAGGTATCAAGGAGCCCTCTGCCATTGCACGTGGTGGTCTGGAAATGCCAGGCAATGAACATCCCTGGGAGCGGTCATCAACTTTAAATACCCCAGCACATTTTCTCCTGATTCATGTAATCTACACTGGTTCCCAGAATCACCCAGAAGATTAAGCTCCACTCAAGAGTAGTCACTTGTTTGATAATGCATCATTTATCAGTCTTTCTTTCTTTTACTCCCCAACATTTCTCTAACACTTTCCTAGAATTACTTTTCAAATAAATCTTTTGTACTTGAAAAATGAGGAATGAAGACTGATTGTTAGAAATCAGATATAAAATCACATTCAAAAAATGAACCAAATACATAGATGGATGGATATGGGTAGCGCACACATGGACCTATGATGACGATATGTCAGAAATCAAGGCTGGGGAATAATCTGTATCTAGGTACCTGAGGTCTGAAGTAACAGGCTCAGAACATCCAGGTGGCCTTTTTGTCCTCATTCTTTGCTTATCCAGAAAGCTGATTGACTTCTGGATTCTAAATGGCTAATGAACACTTGCTGCAGGACAAGATGCCAAGAAATATAACTACCAAAACAAAGGAGTAGAGCTTGGGTTCTAAGTCACAATTCAAAGGGAGGACACCCCCTGACTCCCTTATTTGTTGGGTGACATGCACAGTGAAGTGAAGCTCTGTTTGCAGGAGTCCTCAGTCTCGTGGTTTCCCGTTCCAATGGCTTACTAAAAATAAACTTAGGAAAGTCTTAGAAAAGTAACCTCCTGGGGATAACATTCATATAGTAAGGGACTTTAAAAAAAAAAAAAAAAAAGAAAAGACCCAACAAAAGTATGTTCAGAGTTTATTTCCAGTTTGGTCAGGACCCATTTAGAGCGGATTTGAATAGGGTAAAATATCAGGGAAAAGTTCCAGCCATGGGTGTGGTGGCTGAAGCGTTGGCAGGACACCACAACTTTTTGCAAGGTTGCTGACTAACTGATGTTTTAGGTCAGGCTCAGCGCCCAGGCTCTCTGTGAGAAGAAAAGAGACGCTGTAAGAAAATTAGCAAGTTTGTTTGAAACTTTTGTAACAATAACATTTGCCCTAGCTTTCTCAACTCTCCTTGGGTAAAACGCTTCGGTTTGAAAGCGAGCTTTCAACTTCTTGCTCCAGACGGACACCACTCACTGAGATTGTAGAAGAAACCCCTTCAGAGATTAATGAAGAAATCCCTTCAGAGAAAGAGAAAATGTTTATATATGTATTCGACGAGGCTGGTGGAACGCCATATTTGTCTGTGGCCGTTAGGAAACTATATTTTCACACAAATTACTCACACATTTCTCCCCAGTGTTTTTCCCCCACAGGATGCTGCCTAGTGAGGTTAATCAATGACACCATGATTTCTAATGCGTGTGGCAATACAACCGTAGCAAAAATAAATTGTCTTAAAAGCAGAAAGACCGAAAGGGAGTAGTAGCAGGGACTACTAAGACCGTGGATTTGGTACAGTAGCAACACCTGCAAGCTGGTCAGAAATGCCAATCTTTGGACTCCACCCTATACACCTTGTGAGTCAGAAACTCTTGGGGCCGGGCCAGCAATCTGTGTTTTCACAAGGCCTCCAGGTGGCTGTGAGGTGCCCTCAATCTCCATACAAACACACAAGAGGCCTGTCTCACCCCTACCTCCCAATCCTCCTCCACCCTCCCCCACCCCGTAAGAAGCCCCGCCCAGATGAGGTGGGAACTGGCTACCAAGGTAAATAAGGGCAGAATTCCTCTCCCCACGCCTTGGCTTCTTACTTTTGATCCAAAAATAACAGATTTGAAGAAGCAATTCAGGTCCTAACTCGAAAAATCTCTCCCTTTAAAACCTCAACTACTAAGTCAGTCCTCATATCTGCTATCTATTTTGAGATTCTTACCTACAACCCCCCTTGTTTCTGGTTTTCTGCTATGTATCTGTCATCACTTCATTAGGCCAAACCCTCCTCACCTCCAATCTGCTCTAGCACCCCTACAAAATTAATTAGAATCACTTGGGAAGGGCAACATG